AAATTTCTATCTTATGATATCCAGAGGTTTGTTTTCATATGTTTGTCTTTACTTAAATGGATCAAAAAGAGAAATTTCATTTAGTTTTGTTGTTGTTGTTGATGATGCTTTACTTTTGTATGGACATTGAGCCATAAAAGAAAGTTTACTTTGCTCCATTAATAACTGGGAATCACAACATACAAAGTTGATAGTCACAAGCCATATGTGCAATTGATATGTGGCTGGTGTATGTAAATGTATAATTTCATTTTCTCTTTACTAATTGAAATTTTACTTAAATTGCTACATGGCTATTGGCTATTGTGTTGAACAGTGTAGATCTAGATTAAAAGTGTTTGACCTAGTTTCAGTTACTTCTATTAAAAGTCACAAAGATTAGATGAATCATAAGTTTTATTTAATAAGATGATTGTAGCTTTGGCTTAAGGTGTATACTGTGGTGTGATTGTTTGGGATGCAGAAGGTATGTAGTAGGCTGAATTGAAGAAGGAGACAGAGCATGACCAACCAAGTATGACTATTTTACATGCATGGGTTTCAGGACCACACGAGATCAGGACCTCAGGTTTATGGATGGAAAAATCCTGAGTAAATTTTACATTAACTGTGCTATAACCTAGTGTTTGTTAACTGAAACCTGCGAGTCTTGTTTAAAATAACCCAGAGGATAAACCTAATAGAGCCTACAGTCTGCAAATTTACTTAAATGAACAAACAATAAAAATCATTGACTAAACTGGAACAATTTCTCCATTCAAACTTGAATTGGATTTATAGCTGTTTTCATAGTTCTTTCTTCTGAATTAGCTTTTAAAATAATGCTTTGTTTTAGACAATTATATTATCAGATAACATATCATTTAAGAAAGACCAGTCATTCTTTAAATGTAAAAAAATAGCCAAAATGAGGAAAGATATATTACTATTACCTAATTCCTTTGTTGCATAAAAAAGTATGGTGATTGGGGTATGGAAAGGTAAGGAAATAGTCTTTTACTGCAAGCAATAGTAAACCCAGCAGTACAGACATATAAAGGTTATTTTCATGTCATGAGACTGTAGTGTTGCTTGTTGCATTATTAATCCAGTGACCTTTTGATGGCAGAAATGAACTACATTTATGTCGTTGTCTCAAAGTGTAATTTGTGTTTGTCCTGTCATGTCTACGTGATGACTGTTGTTTCAGCTGTCACATCTGTTTTAGGCAACAGGAAGGTGGGAGGCAAGAACCCATATATCGTTTCTCTCTTATTAGGGAATCAAAATTTCTCAGAACTATTTTTTCATTTCTCTTATTTGCTTGCAAAAACAAAAACATCAATGGTTTTACTAACAAACAAAATATTTAGCACAAGCTGCAGATGTCACTAATTGTTCATATCTTTTGTTTGTTTGTTTTTTGTTTTTCTGGGGTGTTGTTGTTGTTGTTGTTGTTGTCCTGGAGAGGCAATCCCAGGCACTCGCTAAGTCACTAAGTTGTTCAGGCTGGGCTCAAACTTGGGATTGTTCTGTCTCAGCCTCCCAGAGTGTTTTTCAGTGATTAAATTTGTGAATTGATGAAAGATAGTTGCTTGGGATTTGGGGTGTTTGAATGAAGAGATGAATTGTCAGAAAGTATTATGGAAGAGCATCCGCGGTGATGGTAGCAGTGGTGGCAAACCTACCTATGGCACACACACCGCACCCAGCAAGTGGAGCCCTCTCTGGGCACGTGAGCCAAGTCGCCCCAGCAGCCAAGCATTGAATAACAGTTGTTTTCTCTAAGCTAAAACCTCAGTATTCAGGTTTAATGGAAGTGTTGAACCTTTGGAGTAAATAACTGGGTTTTGGATTGAGGTTTGGGCACTTAGTCTCTAAGTGGTTCCCCATCACTCGTCTAGCATGTAGGTATGTCATTTTTGTGTTTAGCAATAGGCATACGATACCATAACCAGAATAACTAAGGCGTCTTTTTTTGTTTCTTTCTGATTTCTCTTCTTTTTCTTTGTTTTCTACTCTTTTAATTTGGCATTGGGAATTGTGTTGAACATTGAACATCTCAACCACTCTTGAGATTTCTGTGACTGATCCTTCTGAGCTCAAAAATCTTGTGGTAAATAAGGAGCAGTAGAATGTGACTGACTCGAGTGCTTGCTATGCTTCTGTGGCCAGCTCACTGAATGACCTTGTGATTTAGCAAAGATAGACATTATTGTTAATTGTCCTACATCTTGTATGCTAATGTTAAAGCACTTCTGTCTGCCTCTTTCATGTAGTGCAATTATTTCCGGTTTAAGTTTCATCGGTTCAGGGTTTGAACATCATTAGTAAACGATTCTTTCTTTCTTTTCTCCCTTTACTCCAGATTGATCTAATCTCTGGAGACCTGTACCATTATTTATTTGATCTAAGGCATTATTATTAATTTTAGACAATGCATTAAGAAGGAAGTAACTGCCAATATTATTGTGAAACAATCTAAGTTTTAAATTATGCAAGAATTGTGCTTTCCAGCCTATATTTTTCATCCCTTCTGAGGAATTTGGCAACATCTGCTTGCAGTTGGATTTCTTGATATGTAGTAGTTTATCAGAACAGAAATTAACAAACTTCATTTATCTAGGTTAAAATGCTGTCTTGAGATTATTCTTCATTTCTTGGCAAGAATATTTGGAACTGACATCATCATTCTAGTACTGTACTTAGTAATGCCTTTCTGACATCATATTCTAGCTTGGTATTCTCTGCTACATCTTTTATGTATTCAGTAACTTTTGCCTCATTGATTACTAACAACAATTCCACATGCTCTCCAGGTAGTAGGAAATCTTGGATGTTTTTTCTTTATACAATATTCATTATGTATGTGTTTTCAAACTGTTCTAGGATCCCTAAAACAATGAGCAAGTGGCTTAGGGATAGATAGTAGCTTAGAACACTACACTGTGGAAGCGGTATGGAATTACAGTTGTTTTGTAAGATTGTAAGGTGTTTAAATAAGAGGCTGTGATGGGGAAAGTCTGATGGGAAGGGGAGTTGAAAGCATGAGCCATTGCATGGCCCTCTTCAGGCTGTGCACAAAGCTGAAGCCTCTGCAAATACAGGATATGAGGGTTGTGGAGGTTGTCAGAGCTTAGAGCACTCTGGCATCATCAATGCTCTTGAATGAGGAATGATACACAGCCATTTTAGGTTCTAGGACATTATTCTTGTGACTTGTGAAAGATAAATTGGAATTTAAATAAAACTAAGGTGTAAAATTTTGAAGATTTTTCAGTTTTTCAGACGGGTCACAGCAAGGATAGGCTGAGTTAGAAGTGGAAGGAATTAAAAACGTTGGCAAGATACAGTGCTCAGTGCTTGGGATAAAGGAATCATGAGAGGTGATCTTTGTGCTCCTACTGGAAGGATGATGAAGAGGATGACATTATTTGACTTCAAAAGATGCAAAGAAAGAGGAAGTTTTAAGTAGAAGATGATCGGCTAAAAATACTCCTTGTGAAGAAAAGAGATTAAAAACGTCTTTGTTACTATTACTCTTCATTCCATCGTGCTAGACAGAGACAGCTGTTAAGTTCTGTGTAGCACAGAGTAGTTGTTGTACAGGATAAGGTTCTGAGGAAATCCCAACCGGGGTGCAGTATTCCAGGCAAAGAACAGTCCGATATTAGTACTTTCAAGACAACGGGCATAATTGCAAAAGGCAAGTGTGAATATTCATACTTGCTCTGAGATTGATATGGGCTCAGAAAACATTCGGCAGACACACAGTATGGTATTATTTCTTTCTGCCAGGCACTGCTCTGTCCGAAAGCATCCCATGCCACTTGCTATGTGTTCCTTAGGTTCTCAGACACTTTCTCATTCAGAAGGCTGCTGTGGAATTCCTATTAAAATTTGGTTGGTCCTAGGAAGTTTTTGGATTTTTACTTACTATATGTGTGGACACTTTTGACTTCACAGATTGATTTTTTGTAAAGATCTGCAAATTAATCATCAAATTGAAAATGAGTTTCAAGCATCAAAAGAACAAGAGATTATAAAATGAAGTCTGATTGTAAGGTTTTTAAAACATAATCTGTAATAAATACTTGAAAAGATTGAATTTACTGTCAAAAATATAGGAAGTTTATTAAGGTTATGTTTGTCATTTAGAGATCTATTGTAGGTTACAAACTAAAGATTTGGATAAGATAATAATATGAAAAAGAGCTTTACTCATTCTCAGATCTGTCTTCAGTGAAGTTGCAAATGTTATGAGTGATTACCAATGAAGATTTATCAGTAAAGTCTACACACTTTGAATATAACTTGATATGACTAAATGATTTAAATTATGAGTATTGTTAGAAGTTTCTTAAAGGCCTAGATTTGGATTAATAATTTGTATTTTTTAAAATTAAGATCCATAAAAATTTACAGGATAAAAATAACACATCAGATTACCGTAAACTAGTCAATAAGAGAGAAATGAGCAAATGTGTTCCATTGCCTGTGTTAAAAAATTTGTCTTAAAATAAAAAACAAAAAAAAAAAACCAAAAAAGCCTTTGTCTTCCTTATGAATAGCCATATTATAAATACCACATTATAAGTACCAAAAGCATTATTTTTTCATAGACTTTATTTTTAGCCCTATATACTTAATTAATTCTCATTTCTAAAATCTCAGAAACAGGATCATTTAAACAGTTACATTTAAAGAAGCTAGAAATTACAATGCATACTGAAGCCAACAAATCACTTCTGAGTATTATGGGGAGACACATTTTTTTTTGAATATGGCATGTTATAATTACCCAAAGAATTATGCATAAAATGTCCTTGAAAAGTTACAATTATTATTTAAAGATAATACCTGCAATAATCGATGCATCCAAAGTAATGATCTGTTTTATTCTTTCATCATCATTCATTTAGATTAAGTACTTTTTATTCTACCCTTTCTAAATCCTGAATGTTTTAAAATGTGTTTCAGTTTGCTACTAAGGTGGCATTGACAGTGCTCTTTCCTTGCAGATAAGAATGTGCCTTTTGATGAGAGGACTTCATCTCTCTACCACGAAGAGCCACGTTTCTACGTTTCAGGAATAAGAAGCCACTGTATCAAGGGGTGGGGTATTTAAGTTACATACATTGTGACCTTTAATTTTTTGTTACTATAGAAAATGCCATAGTTTGTTATTATTATTATTTTTTTGGTATGTACAGAAGTGCCATGTTAATGGGCTTACTGTTGTTAGGGATAACCTGTATTGTAATAGTTTATCTTGAAATTTCTTTAAGACTTCTTTTCTCATAAGTTTTGGTTTCTTATTATATTACTGTAAATTGTTTAATCACTAATCGGTTAATGTTATTTTTGCTAGTATATTTTAAAGAATCATAAAACCTAACAGTCCAGAATGTAAAAGTAATTAAATTGTCCTGTATTTCCCATTTCTCTGGGAAAAAGAAGCCAAATTTATTATGTTGTGTTTGGATTTTTAAAATATTAATAAATGAGTTTGCAATGCAAACCAATATATGTGTTTTTAAGTTATTTTAACATGGAACGGACACAGTGCACTTAAAATATAAATCTCAAACCTATGGAATGATATATGCATACATGTATGTTATATGGCTTCTAGAGAAAACTTCTCAGAAAGTCTTTTCTTCTGTTAGTCACTTCCATGTAAAAGTTTCTGGTAGAAAATAAGATAAAAACTGTGATGCTGATATTAAGTAATATATCAAATATAAAGTTAAACATCAGTATCTAATTTGATATTTTATACATCTGTGAATGTCATTAATTATATTTATTCATAATATAGTATGAGATAGATTTAATAACCATATAACAGTGTGAGTCAAAGCCTCAATCATGCAAGTATGTAGTAGAGTCAGGAATTAAAGCAAATACGTTCACTTTGAAGTTGAGTTTTATGTAGACTGACTTCATCATCTGCGAAAATATTATTTAACTCCATTGAGCTTCGGTTTTTCACATTGTAACAGATAATTTACAGGCAAAATGTGACACTAGAGAATACAAATATGTGTAGCAGTAAGAATGGGCATGGGTAGATATAGAGTATTACAAGATAATTCTGAATTGTAGTGGGTTATAACAAAGATTTATTTCTCATGCCACATGGGTATTATGGTTACTGTCTTATTTCCTCCTTATTTCCTTATTATTCTGGTTACTGTCTTCATTGTCATTTGTCAAGACTCAAGTTGCTGAAAAAACCCTGCTTCCAATATTGTCTTATAATAAGCATCCAGACAGACTTGATGACCACGTGGTACCTTACAGGCTTCTGCTTTAAGTTGATATTCTAAATTCCAACTACATTTTATTGGTCAAACACCTCTAAAGCTACTCCAGACTTCAGTAGAGCAAAGGAAAATAATTTTTTATCAAGAAATGTATAGTATTTTCCACCCAAAATATATCAGGGCTAGGCATGTATCTCAGTGGTAAAATGCTACATTCCTACCATGGCATGCATGAGCTCCTAGGATTGATTTTCTGCACCAGAAAATGCACGCGCGCGCACACACACACACACACACACACACACACACACACACACACACTGCCAAACTTGTTTTATACATATGTCAACTTTTTGTGCGGTGAGTCGTGTCATCTTTATTTCAGCACACACAAGCCTGGTGTACAAGCAGGGACTAAAGAGGAAGACATGTTTATGCCAAAAGGATGAGTTTTCTTCAGCTTTCACTAATAGCAACTATGAGGAAATACTTTCCTAACGTGATACCTAGTTTTTAATCTCCAGAAGAAATTAGTATTCCAAGTTTCCTATATAAAGTCTCTCTTTTAAATTGTTATTTACACAGAATGCATTTGGAGTAAACATATTGCCATGCTTCAGGAGAACAGAAAAGAAAGATTTTGTAGTAATTTATGGAGCACATACAATGAATTGGAAGTTTCTAACCAGCCACTGTGTGGAACTAGAAAATTCAAGTAGCTTCTGCTTAGTCCTTTTTAATTAATAGCTGTATTATCACTTGTATTATTTGGCATTCTTGTCACTGAGACGTAGCACCAAGATACCCACAGCTAAAAGGAGGAAAATCTTAACTTCGCTCAGTTTCAGGAGATCCAGTACGTGGTTAGCAGGTTCCAAAGAAGAAACCTCCTGGCAGACTACTGTGTTACACCTAAGTTGTTTGGTTCTCACGGTGCCATGCCAGAGAGGAATATTCTAGGGATCATAATATATATTACCCAAGGCCAGGCTGTCCTGTCCTACACAAAGACACCCCAAAGGGTACTCTGTAATCACTTAATCCAGTGAGGTTTACATATTCAAATGAAGGGTCGCAATCCACTACTTGTCAATTTTATACCCAAACAAATTTTAAATCATAATCTCCAAAATGACAACAGAAAATTCATAATTTTACCTAATGTACAATTGTCCCACAACCTAGAAGCACAATAATCCCATCCTCCAAAATCTCAGTTGCTCAAGCATGTTTCAAAAGTCCAATTCCAAGTCTCTTCTGACACTCAAGCAAACCCTTAGCTGAAAAAATCTAGGAAAAATCGCAAGCAAATTACCTGACTCAGTTATCAGCTTAATTCACTGAAGTATGCTTGATGAGTGCATCATCACTTCATTGATTGAGCCTTGTCTCTCCAGGTAAAGAAATCTACACTGTTTGACTCTATCCTCCAGGTTATGGGCACTCCAGATTATCTTCTCAATGAAAAATGATCTATGTTTATTGCTGAATACATATGAAACCTACTTTATGCTGATAAAATGTCAGCCTCCAGTGTTGCTTTTTCTTACTGTGATTGACCTCTCTGCCATTTATTCCATTCTTATTGGGATTCACTTCATTAGACAAATGAATGCCATCCTCATGGTTTTCCCCCCAGGACATTATTCTCTTTTAGCATAAATTCTTGTTACTGTGAAATCACAGCCATAGGGTTCTTTGAAGCCTTTTTATCTAGTTGTGAAAACCTGCAAAATACTCTATGATATTTATAATTGCTTTTTTTTTTTCTTGTGTGGCCATGCTATAAATATTTTTGAGGTATAAGGGGTTCTCCAGCTACATTTCTAAAATGAACATTACCCTGAAGTTACATGTTTCTGGAAATAACCTAACATTAAGCTTTGCCCTAAAGCCTTTTCTTCTTGTGAGAAAATGTGGCTGCCTGGAAAGATGGGAGATGACAAACCTTTCTATTTTTGAACTTAGTAAGTCCTGCCCTTTTTTTCTCTAAATTCTATAAAAGAGTTGAATATTGTTATTTTTAAAATCTCAACATACAATATCCTGTGTCTGTAAAAGAAGTCAGTTGGCACTTTTAACATTCAAACATTTTGCCTAGAAATAACCTCAGTCTCTTTAACTTCATAATTATATTATTGGAGCCTTTCATCACTACATTTTTTTCTTTTTCTCCTGTTTTTGTTTTGTTTTTGGTTTCTTTGTTTTTTGTCTCTGAAGGCTCTTATTGACCAGCCTCAGAAGTTCCTAAATATTACTTCTGTGTTATACCAGTCAAATTAGTCATTGAAGCATCTCCAGATGCAGAATAGCTAAACCCCACATCTTGGTAAGCTGAAGATCCTGCATATAAAAGGAAAGGATGTATGGTGTCCATCTTTGGAGTTCCTCTACCACACTAGAAAAGCCTAATTGCCCAGTAATTCTTAGCACACTAACTTTTCTCACTCTTTAGTAAGAAAGCTCTACAGTGCTGGAAAATGTGGAGTTTTGCTGGATTCATTACAATCTGATGAAAACAGGAGACCCTTTAATGAGGAAGGTAAAAGTGGTATTTGGTAAGAACAGTACAAAAGTAATTCGTATCAGTCATATTTGCTATGTATCACTCAACATTCTCGATGATGTAATAGTATTACTTCTGTTTTAAGGAGAGACATCCCACATTTTCTTTTAGTGATGGCATCTGACTCAAAAGTTCAAGGTAGAATGTTGCTGATCCGTCCTCACACCAATAGGACTGTTTGTAGTTACTGGTTTTCTGCCTACTTATAATTAATTTATTTGTACTCTTCTCACTTTTTCTCCCTTGCTACAGTAGTTGTTGGCTTGGGGTATTTGAAAACAATATTCTTTAGAAGAAGCCAAACCCTGATTCTCCCTTCTGCCTTGAGACTCTCAGTTTTGCCTGTCTTCCAGCAGTTTATGACTTGCTACGGATGCTGCTCTGCTCTTTTTGCAATGGTTTTTATTTAGAGTCTAAAATGTGCTCTTATTTTTAATCCCCTGAGGCTCAAAATTACAGGATTCTCTGGCAATAAAGATGTCAGGCTGTGGGCAGAAAGTACTTCTCTCACTAAAGTGGCATTTCCCCCATCTGTGCTTTCAAGCTATTTGCTTCTCACTTGGAAATGTCTTGCTCTTGTAGAATTTTCTTAAGTGTCAGTAAGAGTCAGGACTGCCCAACCTTCTAATCAGTCCCTACTCTCTATGCTAACCTGTGGTCAGCGTATAGTGTGATTCACACATTCCATCAGGAGGATACTCAATGCAAACTGTTTATATGTAAAGTGGGACCAACTTGCTAGTTGATCTAGTCTTTATATCTGCAAACGTTCTAGCTGGTCTTGTCCACATTCTAAACCACAAATTCTCATCTGTGTACTTTCTTCCCTAAGTCAGTTCCATAATTTCATTTCTGTTATTTTTTAACCACCAATTTTTTATAGCTCTACTGAATTGACTGAGGTATTTAAGTCCAACAATAACACACTTTGGCTAGTTTTAGTTGTTCCTATTAGTTCATAAAAATCTCCATAATGACCAGGGGAAAACATTGCTCAAAGGGAAACATTGCTGTTGCCTATCGTTTACGTCTGTGACATTAGAAACTGAAAAAACAGAACCTGGTATCAGCTGCTGCAGAGAAATAGAACTCTGTGATTACGGTATGCTGGGAAGTGAACTCTCCTGGCCCAGAGCGGCCTCATTTGCTCCACTTTATCACAAACTAGCTATATGGTGTTGGAAAACAGTCTGGGGGCTCTATTTTTTTTTTTTAACTTACGGTCTCCTTTCAAAGCAAAACAACTTAAAAGTTTTTGAGATTGGGTGTTAAATGTAGTCATATGCGGACTCTTGAAGCACGTAACTTCCTCATATTTCCTTTCTTACTGAAAACTGATATAGTTTAGTGGAAAATACAATATAGCTTCAACATCCACTCTTTATGGACGGCCATATTGCACTAGCTGTGGAGCTTTCTTAATTAGTTTTTTATACTAGGTACCCTTACTTTGAAAAAAATCACGGGTAATAATAAGTGTAAAATTAATGTGGTAATAATATAGGATAGTACAAATAGTTATTAGCATAACGAATCTATGAAACCAATACTAAGTGATATTAATTGATGTTACATGTGTATTCACTCTGAAGCAGTAGTTTTCTGTATTTGAAATATTTGCTGTATTTACTTTGGAGATCTTAACATATTTTAGAATGTGATCTGGCTTAAATGATAGTAATTCTCGCTG